TACTTCCACTGCATCTTTAAATCAAAACAAGAAAAGAAATGAGTGCGGGGGGCCAGCACTTGGAAGGGATAAAAGCCTATAAGGGCACAATGGAATGTGCCGAGCAAACTCTTAGCTTTTTGATTACATTCATTTTCAAGAGAGAGGAAATGTGGGAGAGGAGAAACTGGACGAGATGGAATGCATATCAGGAACCCAGAGACCTTGTTATCCTTTCAAATGTACATGGGAAAAGAAGTGAAAATAGATCTTGACACACCCACCCCGAAGGTTTGTTCAAAGAAAATAGTATGTTGTTTGATTTCTCTCCAAAAACCATCATGATCCACCTGATGTACTCCCACGATAAGGCCCCCACCCCTCTTCTAGACTCCTGGGCTCAGTTTGTGTCTTTGCTATCGATCGGAGGGATTCTTGAAGTCGGAGCAGAGTGCTGAGGCGGCAGGAGCGACCAGCACTATTAACTGCTCCTACTAATTAAAAGGGTAACAAGGTGAGTTCGGCCCGAGGGGGGAGCCGGGTGGAGACGGAGCCCACTGTTAGCCTGCCATGCACACCGGTAAACAGTGCCTCTGGTGTTTACAAGACAGGAAGCCAAGGACATTGAAGACATATTCATCTCCCTTTGGCACGAGGGATTGGGGAGATCCACAGATAAAGGAGAGGGAGAGTGGAACACACTAATAAGCACATGGCTAATTGCTCATGTTGCAGAGAAATTGAAACATTTGGACCTCGTCTGTGGGCTCGGGGTGCCTCGTTTCATCGCCCACTTGTAAACAATGAGCACTGTGCATGAATGATAAAGTTTGCTCAGTTCAAATGAGGTGCGCAGCTTGGATCTTTGAGAGAGTGCCAGTGGAGATTGCCAACAAATATTAAGGGATTCAATTAACTTCTTTCCTTATCATCAACACAGCATATTTTAGGATCAAAGTATTTTTTAAGATACAGTATGCCTGAAATTACATAAATAAAAACCTCAGCCAAGGTAGCATTACACACGTCTGTGGGGCCGGGAGG